TTCACTATGTAAGAATTTGTTCTCCATGTAAGAACTTGTTCGTTATGCTTCAGAAGATTGGAGACTGACGAAAATTAGGCTTGGGGTGGATTAATGATTGTGCATTGAGCATTGACTCCCCTATACAGAATTTTATTGTTGTTAACAACCATTTGATCAATAAATATGAGAGATGCCCTCTCAAAAAACAAAAACAAAAAAAAATACAGACTTCCAATTGTAAAATAAATAAGTAACTGGGATGTAATGTATAGCATAAGGAATATAGTCAAAATATTTTAACAACTTTGTATGGTGATAGCTGGTAGCTAGAATTATCATGTGTATAAATGTTGAATCACTGTGTTGTACACCTGAAACTAATGTAATACTGTGTGTCAACTACCCTTCAATAAAAAAAAAGAAAAAAACAGCCTTGAAACTGGACCAGATACCTAAATACCAAACAACAATATAAGCATGCTACACAAAAGCCTAATTAATACCTAGTGGAAGAAAAAAGTAGAAAAAAAATGTTAAAGTCTCAAAGTTTATAAAGGATTTATAATAAACCAAGAAAAAAAAGATGGTGAGAGAGACCCCAACATCTCTGTCTCACACACTACATGTAGGAAATTTTGTTTGGTAGGAGTCTAGAAAAGGTGTTTGGATGGGGATTTTAGAGGGTGAAAAATATGTTTAAATAATTCTTTCATCTTCCCATCCAGCCGTTAGAATAATGGCTAACAAAACTCTCTTGAGTTGACTGTTTCTTACAGGAACATTGGCTTTGTAGAAATGATGGAATTTGGCCAGTAATTCCCAAGAGAAAATGATACTACAAATGACTGTGCATTTGCAAATTATGTGACTCTTTACATCAATATATCCGGATTGTGGTTCTCAACCCATACAACTGACCAGAGGCTTGAGATTTTAAGAAAACTGTTGTCAAATCTCGCCAACAATAGCAGTCACTGTTCAACTGTGGCCCCTAAATCCGGACACAGGAAGTAGGCCATAAAAGCTGAGCACCATCTCCCTCATGCGGCTGCTGCCTGCCAGTGGGGGGCATCCTGCAGCTCCCCAGTAGGGGCATGAGGGAGGAGACAGAGCTCCGTGCCTTCCTGCAGCTCGCTGAGAGGGGCTCCGCACTGCCCTCTACAGATCTCCAGTTTCTCCTTCAAGGCAAAGTTGTCTTTGGCTTCTGTTTTCTCCCACCCTGTATTTTGGGTGTTCCCTGAGTGTTCCCACAAAAGTGTTCTGTCAATGTGAGGAGCCCTGAACTGAGCTCCTGGGGTCAGGAGGGAACAGAATGGGTAGGCAGCAGGGAGGTGTGGCAGGGCCTGGTGGGTAGGAAAGCTCCAGTAAGGCTTGTGTTACTAACTGTGCCCCTGACTGTGAATCCTCAGCTTCTGGCAGTCTCTACAGCACCGTGTATCTACTGTCACATGAACACTGACTCCTGACCGGCCTGCGCATCGAGTATGACAAAAGAGGTTATACCAAGGAGGGTGACTGTCATGCTCTAGGCATATGGCCTGGCTCTGTGCTGAGTCAGTGCATCATCCACATTTCTTGATGGAGATTCCTGGCTTTATCATTGTAGGGAAAATGTAAATTCCATGGCTAAGATCCTCACGTGATCCTAACCTACTAGCCCACTGCATACATGCAATGATGTAATACATAGCCTTTGCAGAGGTGCACATGCTTGCACACCAGTTGGTGATAAGCCATTATTGCCTGTGTTGCCATTAAAAGAGCTCCCTCCACCTGGTGCTAGGATAGCAGAGGCTGGAGGCAAGAATGAGCTGGGAGAGGAGGCCAAGCCTGGGGCAGAGGCAGAGGCTGAGATGGACTTGCTATTGTACACTGCCCTGGAAGCGAACAGGTTTAGCACGTGACCTGCCACAGTGAGAAGAAAGCTTTATATACATCCCTTTTTAACCCCAACGTTCCATTATCATTTTTTGGTTCCACCAAATCCAGAGTGTTGGAGCTGGAATCCTCTTCAGCCCAGAGCTACAATCATACCTTAACTAAGATCATGGACAGCATGGCTGATGCTGTGGGAGTGAGCTTTCACTTATATACCCCAGAAAGTCTTACATCCTGTTCCATGAGTGGAAAAAATAGCATTTACTTTGAAGTTAGGATATCTTTTCATCGGCATGCACATCTGTGTATAAAACTGTATGTAATATTTCCAGAAAATCTCACCTGGCTTTAGTACATCTGCATATCAATAGGTGTTCAGAGGTCAAAAGAAGTATGGCTTTAGTGCATTTGCATCATTCCTCAGGGGTGGAGATAAGTTCATCTCTATATCACCGGGTAATTACCTGGGCAATGGAGAGCTTATCTGTACCTGAGAGGTGAGAGGGAGTGCTGGGTTTTGCTTCTGCTGGAGCAGGAAAGAGAGAAGCCTCAGACTGCAGTTTGTAAGCAATAAACAGATTTTAAACTTTATTTCTCCCTTTGACTGATTTCCTCTTCCCGGACTTACATCTAATTTATTTACTATGATAAACAGTAATACTACTTTTAAAAAACAAATGCATTAAATCTTTAGGATTTTAGGATGTTGCTCTGAGAGGATGCAGGGGTTTCCCACTCTGGGCAAGTTCACTATAAAGTCGATGAGACTGAATAACAATGGAATGTTAGTGGTTCAAAGGGGCTCAAACCAAGCTTTATTCTCATGGCAGTCACCTGGCTATGTACAAGCGGCAAGCCCATTTCCATCTCCCGTCAGGCTAGAGCCTTTGCTCTCTCCTGTTCCCCAGCATGAGGCTCTCTTCTCCCTTCCTAGCACTGAGGCTCCACGGCTTCCCTCTTCTGCTTCTCACTCCCCTCTAGGCTCCCTAAGCTATCTGCTTCTCCTTCCTGCAGAACTTTGAGGGCCCATCTCTATGATGACTGGCAGCCTCCATGCCCAATTACAATCCAGGAGCTTGTTCGTTTCTTTTCCAACCCTCCTGTGGGCCTATACACCCGTGACTGACAGCTTACTCCAGGTGGCTCTTCCACCAGTAAACAGTTTTCTGCCAAGGGGTATGTAAGCAGGCTTGTATGTATACAATGGGAAGTATTAGACTCAGAGGAGGTGAGAATACTGGCCATAAAATTTCCATTTTCTCTACACACAATCATATCCAAATCCTCAAAAATAAATCTTATGTATTAAAAAAAACCTGTACCTTTTACAGATCTCCAAAATTCTATGGAACATTTACTTCCTTTTCTAAATATTTAAATAGTTCTTCCTCTTTTTCCTTCCCCCAAAATTTCTTTTAGGAACATTGGATTCCTAACAACACTAGAGGTATCACAGATGCCCTTAGGCTGACCTGTTACCCAGAAAACCAGCATGAGAATGGAGCAACTGGCCTCACAGACTACCCAGTGCTTCCAAGCAGGCCTCTGTTCATCCTGTCTGTGAGGAACCTGGGCTGGGGCGCTGTGTAGACCAAGGGCAAACCCTGGTGACAGGTCTGGCCAGACATTCCTATCTTGGCATGACCCCACTATTATCTAACCTTAATTTTTATTCATAGCTTTTAAACCAGTACATTATTCACAATGCATTCCTGATTAAGTAACAATCGGTGGCTTCCTATTTTCCCCCTTGTACTCACTGTGGTAGGAAGCACTACTACCTACAGACTAGCAGGTCCTCCTCTACTTCCAGAACTGGGCTTCAACTGCCTCCTGAAGTCAGGCAGGGCTACATAACTTTCTTTGGCCCAAGAAATGTGAGCAGAGAAGAAGTATAACCCTTCCACATGGAACCTGTAAGAAAGATTCACCAATTCCCCTTCTTCACCAGAGAACTAAAAACCTTCCAGGTGGTGCAGCCTTTGTCATCCTGGGTCTCTAGATGAGGACAGTGTGGAGCAGAGTCCTCTCTCTGCCCCTGCCAATGCTAAGAGACATGTTACATGCGGAAAAATTAATTTTTGCCCTTAAACTACTGAGATGTAGGGACTATTTATTATCAAACCATGGTCTAACCCATTCTAATAAAGCCTTACTGTCCCACACACAGGAGAGAGAAATGTTTGGAGATTTTCAGAACTTGTATGTCAGGCAATGAAG